AGCTTTTCTTCGCTCAAAATAAATTTCTCCTCAAAATGCAACACTTGCACCTGCAAATATTTTTTACATGCACTCAGAATAGTGGCACAAAAATAACGCTATAGTTATCTGGCTTCACGGAGAGATAGAGTTGGGTATAGCAGTGAAAATGTATGCTATGCCTTCTAATGATACTGCCTAAGGGAAGCATGTATAATGTGAACAGAATTGGTCCTAGCACTGAACCCTGTGGAACACCATACTTAACCTCAGCTTGTGAAGAGGACTCTCCATTTACATGCACAAATTGGAGTCTATTAAATAGATATGATATAAACCACTGCAGCACAGTACCTGTAATACCTACAGCGTGCTCTAATCACTCTAATAGGATATTATGGTCGACAGTATCGAAAGCTGTACTGAGGTCTAGCAGGACAAGCACAGAGATGAGTTCACTGTCAGAGGCCATAAGAAGATCATTTGTAACCTTCACTAATGTGATTGTTGGACTGTGATGAGTTTAGAAATTTGACTGAAAGTCTTCAAATAAACTATTCCTCTGCAGATGATCAGGTAGCTGTTTTACCACCAATATTGTTTGTTTTGGTTTGGTTTTTTTATTTGTTTTTTTTTGTTTGTTTGTTTTAGATAAAAGGAAAGTTAGCGATTGGCTCATAATTAGCTCTGGGTTAAGTGATGGCGTTTTAATTAATGGTTTAATCATTGACACTTCTGATGAATAGTTGATAGAACAGCTGAAGGGCCAGATGCAGTTCTGCTGTGTCCTGTACTAGGTCTTTGATGGATTTCTTTCCCATTTCTCAAGGACATGACATTTAAATATTCTTAATATTTAAACGCAATGGAGGTGCTGAACATGGTCCACTCGGACTGAATGTCCCCAGTCTCCTCGAAATGCTGTCTAAGTTCAGATGCGGCAGGCTGTTCCAGCGACACCCCTGCAGGTCTCGTTGCCCAGTAGGATGAAGAAATTCAGAAACGAAAATACTGATAAATCAGATGAGTGCGTGAAATGTTCATACACACGATTTGTGCATACACACTGTTAGTAAATGATGCCCAATATCCCAGAAGTTTGACTTGATGCTATACGATGTTAATAGGTGTTCTATTAGGTTTTTTCAGCAGTGTATAAAGCCCTAATTGTCTTTTCTTCTTGTTCTCAAGCTTACTACACTGATGTCCCCAAGATCGTATACGCATCGAGGACACATTCTCAGCTTGCACAAGTTATTAGTGAATTAAAGAACACTTCATACAGGTAAGCATTTCTAAAAACTACTGGATATAAGTTTTTGATTATGCATGATTGTCTGAATTAGAGCTGTTCACAATATAAAACAGTTTTATTTTATACAATTTGGGGAGGAATTCAAAACAGCTGCAAATTTCAAGGTCATCAGTTCTTGAAACAATTGTACATAAGTAAGTTATTTGTCACTGCTGGCAAGACCCTGTTAAAACTGTTACCCTCCGATGAGAGGAAACTTTGTTAGGATGGACAACCCAGGAACCACAAAAGCTGGAGCCTACCATAACCTGGAAACTTCTACAGCATCAGCTTCACTGTTCAGTGAAGCGACTTTTACATTACCATGCACTGAGGCTGTCAACCAATATGCTCTTAAATCAACATTTTCAAGCTCATCTGCAATTTTCAGCTACCTACATAGATGGGTCGAAACCCAAATCCATTTAAATTGTACATTGCACAAAGTTACAAAATTATCCTGAAGCTTGTTGAAAGCTACTAAAAGTGTATGATCAAGGTGCAACTTGCTAAGTGGCATTTGACCAAATATTAGTGGGGCTTTAAAGGGTTATTACATATGCTACAATCATTTTGAGGCCTTACTGAGTCCAGCACCTCTTGTCTGTTCTGGTTTTGTTGACTATTTATGGTAATTCAGTTCTCCAATGTCTCTGTTGATTCAGGCCAAAGGTGTGTGTGCTGGGCTCAAGAGAGCAGTTGTGTATTAACCAGGAAGTCATGCGTCAGGAGAGCAACCACGTCAAAGTAAGTTATAAATGCAGTTTTAAAGATATAAATATAATGGGATGTTTTAATTGTTATGTCCAATGAATTGTATTAAACACAAAACACTGAATGTTTGCAACCTCACTACTGATTTACCAAAAAATATCTACTTTTGACAGACTCACAAAGACCAAACATCAGTTGTACCAACTCTACTCTATTGGACTTACGCTCAGAACAGTAGCTTCACTCTTGTTCTGCTCAGCGGCCTAAAACTATAGCATTACATAAACCAGTTCTCCATCTGCTGCAGGGTCTGGTTGGTGTGGGCCAGTGTGCAGTAGATCTCAAGAACAGAGGTGCTACTATCACCAGCTCTAGTTCAAGACGGTGGAGTTGCATTATATCTGAGGCAGCTCAATGAAATCAACGACCACCTCAACAGCAACTTTAGATAATCTGTAGATAAGCTTTGTTGTCACTGTTGCAGGAAAACTGAAAAATAGTTTCTTTGTTCAAACTCATTGTTGGATCTCTTCAGTTTAGCATCATGAATCCAGAATAGAAGATGATGAAGATGATGAACTTTTATTTTGGACATATAAAACAACCAAAACAATATATACACATACACACAGATACATGCATAAACAAAATCAAAATGACATAAAAATACCCATTCATCATCAAGTCCAACCCCATTATCAACATTCTATTCACCATATTCATCATTACCCCCACTCCCCCTCAGATGGCTGAATACACTTGCCCCACACAAAAAAGAGGGGAAAATGTAAGTATAACGATGGGTATAATAATAGATATGATTCCAATCATATCTATTATCACTGTCCAGCCTTGTGGACATTGATCCTGCTCAGCACCGCTCCTACATCGGTGGGGGAGAGAGTCCCCGGGCGTGTTCTCAGAGCGTGTTCTGGGGAGCTTGCAGGAGTGCTCACAGACATATTCAACCTGTCCTTGGCCCACGCTGTGGTACCGGCCTGCTTCAAATCCACCTCCATCGTCCCGATACCCAAAAACTCCAACCCATCTTGCCTCAATGACTTACCGCCCAGTAGCACTCACCCCCATCATCACTAAGTGCTTAGAGCAGCTGGTCCTAGCACACTTCAAATCCTGTCTCCCCC